CCGAATGGTGGTTCATCCGCATGGAAGAAAATGGGGGGTCGTTTGGATCGTTTTCGAGCAATCTGCCGTGGAACGCATTTTTTCATTTTGCCCATTGGCTTAACACGGGAATTTTCAAAGTCACGTGGCACGTGCACCAGATTGTCCGCCGAGGGGAGACCCATACCGGAACGTAGATCACCTGGCCCACTAGAAATCCTGAAAAAAATCAGAATTTTTGGAACAGCCGTTTTCTCGAGCATCAAGTTGTACTGATCTCAGGCAGCTTTTGCCAAATTGTCAGGGAACTCAGATTTGTTTTTCAATAGAAAAACACAATTCTAAAGAAAAGTGTTTTAACTATTGACAACAAACCTGCGGTTATCTACCAAATTTCACCGAAAAATATTCACTGGTTTTCAAGATATTAGGCTTTTACTTTTGTTTACTTTTTGGGATCTCCCCTGTTACTAGCGACTTTATTTGGAAGCAATAATTTGGCAGCCTTAAAGTGCGGCAGACGTTGCGCGCAAAGCAGCGTATACCACCACGTGTTAACGATGGTTTTAGTCTAAGATTTAAAAATCGTTAGATCTCCGCTGACGTCACAAATTCTAAGGGGGCATTCCAATGCATTAGCCCCTTAGAATCCGAAAACTGCAAGTTTGAAATTCCATATCTTGGAATTAAAGCATTTTTCGATGTTGTGAGTGCCCAAACCGGTATTTGCAGGCCATGGCCACCAATTTGGCTATCTCAACTCAAAACTAATGTTAAGGTCGGAGTGTCCCTTTAAGCATTCTTAATAGTTATCATTGAACCCTCAGACTGTGCCATTTCCTCTTGCACATATGCTGACACTTATCGGTTCAATGAGTAATCTGCGCTAAAACTATGGCCTTGAAACCCATTTTCCGGTTAGGGTTGTAGGGGAGGCGCACCCTGCACAACGAGCACTGACAGCGACTTGTTCATTGTAAGAAATTACAAGTCTTCGATAAACTAGTTCCTTGCTGTATCAGAATCTCTCAATGTTTACAGAAACGGGCTATGTCGCGCGACTCTCTTGGGCAAGATATTTATGCAAAAAAATAAACGGAGTTCCAGAATGGATACTGTCAACTGACAAATTATCAATATCTGCTTCAACCGCTGTTATGGATAATCTTAAAAATGTTCAAGGAACTGTGCACATCAAACGATTCTGCAAACACCTACTTAATTTGCAACGTAATATGGGATTAGACTGTCTCAAATATAGAACATGTGAGCCGGGTTCACGAGGTACATGGCGAGGTAGATGGCACAAGTGTGGCTCTACGACCATGAAATATTAATCTTATCTTACTTGCGCCGGACGCCAGCCGACGAGTTCCTAAGTGGTGGAAGGTTGTATTGACCGTCCCCGCCCCATCCCGCAAACTGAGACCGTCGCTCTGACCAGTGCGGTGATGAGCGACGAATGACACTAAGTAGGTAGTAATTGAGGAACGCGATTCAATCACTTCCAAATTGGCCAAAATCGTGGCCTGACGGTAACTAATGAACGAAAATAGCCAAAAGTTTGTTGCGTTGTAATTGAAGTAACTATTTGATGTTACATTTTGATTTTTCAACACATGGCTTTGAGGATTCTCTGCTGGCACAACTGGCTGCAGTGTTGTCATCAGCTTGGTTCTAGTACCGTTTGCTCCTCTGGCTTTGCTAGACGGTTATTGGCACCCTATTCTCGTGTTTTCGGCGCTAAAGCACTCGGCAACATTCGTATACCAAAAACGTCTGTGTGTAGTGACCCAATTGACCCAGAAACTTATTGAGACTGGGACACGTTGACGCCAAGCTATGAAGAAGGCTTTGCTAGCGTGTGGATTCATGGGGCTCAAAGTAAGTGCTCATTCGACTCGTGAATACGTCTTTTGAAACAACTGAATGGGGTCTTTGTCCGATTTTAGATCAAGCACCTCTCGCACACGGGACTGAGAAGCTCTCATGCACTCGTATCCTGCGTATAAAACAGGGTTGTGTTGTAAGGGATATTGAATGAAATATTTTAATGCAGCCTGGTATTAGAAAGTTTCCGTTGGTGCTCCACCGAGTAAAATGAAATTGCATGAAATACTCTTGAAGGGTAAAGCGATATATACGACGAACGTCTGCTTTTGATATTTTTTATCAGAAGTGTGGGAAGCTGTTTTTATGTTTTCCGGACCAGTCTCAAGGCAATCTATTTGTAAGCTACAGTCAAATATGATCGTAAAAAATGTTGTGTCTCGCAGTTTTTGGAGGAGCTGCACAGTTTCTTTATGTAAAAATTTAAACTGCTGAGTGCTGAGTGTAGTCAGATATTAGACTGGCATTGTAACCTATGGAGTTGGACTGTCTTCAGCTTAAAACATTATCATTCTTGACTTTATTTGGTGGTCAAAAGACGTGCTTTTTATCTTTCCTCGGACCAAACTACGTCCACCACTGGCATTCAGTCCTACTGGCTACTCCCTAGAAAACCAACGGTAGCTTTTCAGCCCGCCTTGGGGTGTGTTGCGATATGCGCTGATCAACCACACCCTGACACACGCTGCCGACATTCTCACAAAGTGAGATGTTTTCACGCTGGCGACTAGTCGCTACCCACACACCTGGTCAACTCCCATGACTAAACGCCGACCCTCGGCCGTTAGGCGCACAGCTCTGCTCCATTAGAGTGAAACTGCGCCCCTCAGAAGCGCGTGTGCATGTGTTCAAAACTTAGGCGGCGCCTGAGGTGGCTGTCTGGCGCGTGTGGAGCTCTGAATATCATTTTGGTGGTACATGCGTGCCGCTGAGCGAATAAAATATGCAGAATAGATATATATATATCCAAGCTACGTATATTCGTATCTCAGAATATCAGCCATGGCGTTTGTGACATGAATAAAACACTTTTATGTAAGCTGTGGGTAGTATCTCAAGCAGCGTTTGTGACTACTGCATAGTACCTCGCTAACCGTTACATGTGATGATAAGCTGCGCAACAAATGGTTGAACAAACGGCCTTATCTGGAGCCAAATCATCTGGCTGTACTATGGGCACTTCATTATGTGTATTTAGATAGATAGACAGGCTCAATGTATAGGAATGGTTGACCTCATCGAAAGTGAGCATGGTACGATCTACATGCTCAATAAAAACCTGGTTCTTGCCTATCATAAAACATTATTTACTATAAAACAATGGCTTGTTGTGCGCGGTACCATTCTCAATAAAGGCATGACCAATCATTGGTAAGGGTCATGGATGGCATGCTGGTTCTCGAGGTCCCACCACTTCTTGCCAATGTCAGGCGGTCTTTTCAGCTTTTTCCGAAATCGCCCCCGACGATGGACGTTGGGAGGCGTGCTGCTGAATTGTGTGTTCGAACTCTGACGAATTCAGTTGCCCCTGTGAACCCCACCCGTGTGAAATGGCGAAGGGTGCGGTCTGTGCGCAACACTCGCCGGAGTTAACTGTGTGAAACGTGCAAGGGCCGAGCCTAGCAAGGTGACGCCCGCAACGTTTTTACAGAGCACGTCCAGGCTTAATTGTCCAGGTGGTAAGTGCGCTTTTACTTCGGCAGAGTGACTTTTCGGTGATCCTAAAGCTTTGAACGATCAACTTCCGAATCACGGTCTATAGTAACGCCATGTGGCCTCCCAAATGTGAAGAGAGTGCGAAGATCACCTGTAACGAAACCATGGGAAAAACACTTTTAAATGGCCTCCTTACAATGAAAAACCAAAAGATGAAATAATGAAATAATTATTGATTATTTCGACCACAGGTCATTTATGTCTGACAAAAGTTCTGTCTGGCTTATTTTGATAATGACCTGTGGTCGAAATCATCAATAATTATTTGATTATTTCATCTTTTGGTTTTTCATTGTAAGGAGGCGATTTAAAAGTGTTTTTCTCATAGAACTTATACCTATGCCTTACATACAGCAAGTGCTTCAACATGTAACGAAACCAGGTTGAATGCACTTACGGTATGACCTTCCTGAACGCTTAGCCAACCTCTCGTTTTGAACATAATGATTGAAACTCAAATATAAGCATACTGTTTCAACTTTGTTCAGTATGCCCTACAAGTATTAGACTCTTTGATAGGGGTGGTTTGGTTTCAGGAATATCAACTGAGTTAGTTTTCGAATAAGCCGACTCTCAAAGGTCAGACTACATAGTTCATACCAATTTTTAAGTGTTATCGGTCAAAGCTGCCGTGGGCGACAGCGTTGGTGATGTAAGGACATGGATTTTATTGGATGCTGTATATACTGCAATCCATATGAAATTTTGTTGCCTCCCGCGTGTACAGCATATGCAAACAATTGGGTCTGATTTACGCTATTTTATCATTGTTAAATGTAGATATATCTGTGCAACTTTAACTATTTGTCAGCGCCAGTCCAAGAGTTGCTTAATTTCCGGACCAGAGGCCACCGTTGAAAGATTGATTGTGCTTAGACGTATACTCGTAAGCTTGCTAATTCGCATGTGAAATGCAAAATAATGTTGACAATATTTTGAGAGTAAATGAGCTGCTCAATATTTTCTACATTTGTTTTTACTACAAACCTACCTACAAGTTGCCAATAGTTCGCCGCCGACAATTTTGCTGCCCAAGCCCATATCATGCTCGCAATTTGAGTTACATTTTCCTAGGATAACTTACAATCTAGATTCCAGTGTTTCTGGGTTATACAACGACATGCAAGAGGCGAATAATCTATTTTCGGCTAGCACGGCAAATTTTTGCAAATTTGTGCCTTTCCTTAGCACGGATGAGCGCAACAGGACCTTGAACGCCCAAAATAGCACTTGCCGCAGTCACGAAAGGGGCCACTCGCTGAGTTGAGCCAATTTTAGGTGCAGTCCTGATCAGCCAACACGCTCTCTATTCAGTAGGACGGCTACTATCTCATAAGTTGGGGACGTCAAGCTCTCGTCATTATCTGCAGTGTCGGCGGGCTGTGGGACCGGCCGGGCTGCGGGCGTCCCGGCCCGGTCACTCTGTGTCGGACCGAGCCGTCTGAGGCCGTCAGACGTCCCGCGACACTCGGCCGAGGCCGTACCCGCCGGCCGCCGCTGTCAGAGACCGTCCCCGCCGGTGCCCTGTCAGAGGCCGTACGCCGCGGCCGGGCTGCGTTGCATGCAGGCTGGGCGGCGTTGCAGGCGGCGCGGCGGGCCGGGCTGTATTGACGGGCTGGCTGGTCCGGAGTGTCCTGCCCCCTGGCGGCGGCGCGAGCGGCCGACCGCCGCCGACGCCAGCCGCCTGTCATGGCCCAAGGTTAGTACTGCGAGACCGCCGTCGGGTCTGCACGACGCGCAGTGATCCGCGCCGACTGTGCAACTACTGAGAGTGCCGGCAGTGCGGAGGCAGCGAGCCTGAGCCGAGAGACGTGCCGAGTGCCGAGTGTTTGTGAGTGTCCGCCGTGAGTGCCCGAGGGGACGCGGTGACAATCGCAGTGTGACACCACGGAACAGCACCGAACAGAGTCAGGTAGGTCAGCACGCCGATGATTTGCAACAAACGGCGGCGGGTGAGGCGAGAGTCACGAGACTGGGCGGTATTGTGCCGCGCCGCCGGCCGGCTGGGTCACGTGGGCTCGGCTCCACCGGCCGCTGATCCCCGCTGCTAACATGCTGTTGGCGCGCTGGGCGCTGTTGAAGGACGAGCTGCTGTTTGGACGCGCTACTCGGCCGTGTCTCCGCGGCGCTGCGCCGACCCATTCCGGGCGAAGGTCGCCGCCGATGACGTGTATCTCGGAGTCTGGAGTCTGGAGTCTGGTCTGGTCGCTGCGCGGGGCCGGCGGCCCAAAACCGGTGCCACAATCACCGCCCCCCGCCCTCGGATAGCATCGGGTCCGTGCGGCAGTGCATAGGGCGGCCAACGGCAGTGGCGGTGCATGGCTTCGCTGTATTCTCAACCATCGGTCTGCCTCGCGCGGACAAACTGGGACGCACCTCTCTGGCACGCGAGAGAACTGCGAGCTCCTGCCGCCTTCCCAGTCTCACCGCCGATCTTCAGAGTGGATTCGGCGGCGGCTGAACCACCGGTCTGGCGCCATGAGCCGCGCATTTCGCCTGAGAACGCGAGCCTCTCGGGTTTCCCATCGCCACTTGTGGGCGCAGCACTGGGGTCGGCCTCTGACGTCTTCTCGTATCCTCGCATCACCGTTCGTCGCTCAACTCTCCACGCTGCGGAGTCGAGGTCAAGCTGCCCATCGGGCTCAGAGATGAGTGACCAGCTGTTGGTAGCCGACGCCGCGGTATGCATCAGCCAGAGGTGGAGGTCCGCTGTCCCCCGGATCAGCTGGGTGTCGAGGTGAAGAAGCTCAGTGGCGGGTTCCTCCGTACACGTGGAGATCCACTAGGTGGTTAGCCTTGAGCGCCAGAACTACACCTTTTGTCAGTTTATTTCGGTACGTGCGCGTCCATTTTAGACCTAGCGGATTCTTTGTAGACATACCGCAAGGCTATGTATCAGTATAGCATTGCATGTCGGCCGTTTATAGCGGTGATCGGCATTAGAGCATTTAATTTCGGCGCAGCAGCAAAAGACGCCCGGTTTCGGCGTGTCCGCATTGTATTTCGGCGATGCTGTTGGAGATTGGAGACGGCCGCACGATATTTAGAACAGCAGCAACCAAATTCGGCGATATTCATTCAATTTCGGTGGCTATTTGGAAGCAAGCAGAGACTTCTTGCTTACAAAATTAGCTTGTTGGAGCATTGTTATTCAGTCAAACGTTTTTCAAGGTGTTTACTGTTGCCACTGTCTCATTAGTCGCGTTTACATAGCATTTTTGACGAAGCTCTAGCTCGTTTATTTGGCGATAATTTCGATGCAGTGGTCTTCAAATATTTAGAGGGGATCATTTTGTGAATTGTTAAGCACCATTGGCATCTTTTGCAATATCGTGGACGGAGATATAAGCTTGCAACAAACTCTATGTAAACGCGTCTAAAACTCTATGTAAACGCGTCTATTGTCTGGACTTGAGTGCATGCCTCCAGCCCTCCACCCTCTCCGTTATGGCCGAATATTCCTCTCGCCATCGCCAGCGATGAGCATGATTTCATGTCCGTGCTTTCTGTGGGTTAAACAAAGCATTACAATGTGCCTATTAATTTCTATCAAGGAAGTACAAATAACATAAGTTTATAGGCACCTGCTTAAAACGAAGCTGGCGGAGAACAAAACCAGGCCGACGGGGTACGCGACTACTGAACTTTGACCCCGCCCGTGCGCCAGAGACGCCCGTCGCCCGGTGTCGTCGCGCGGTTGTTGAAAGGATGCGCCGAGCGCCGGATGGACAGTCAGATGCTCAGGGAGGGGGGGGGGGGGAGAAAAATACACCTGCCGCAACTACGAGTCTTGTCCATGGGACGGGTTAGAATGTTGGCGCTAAGCCTCTGGGTCTGGTGGTGTTCGTGGGGGTGGGGTGGGGTGAGGGGAGGCGTGATGATACGATACGGAATAATTAATTTATTTTCATGTCCTTCTGCACACAGTAGGTAAGGGATGTTTGATATTTCACGCAGGCAGTTGATTAATAGGAGATGATTACAGGAAGTGCAACGATAACCGATTGGTAGGACTTATTCTGGTATGGCTGAGCTAATTGTGTTATGTTTGATTGACGAGGTGATGGGTTGCTTTCAAAGTGAAGTAAAATAACAGGTCTTTTGATAAAATGGGTTCATGTTTTGGGCAAAAACTTGGCACACAGTGACAACAGCACAGACGTGCTTCAATGAAAGAGAATCGGGGCTTGCCTCGAGTCCAACAACGATTGGCGTTTGCCTTGTCGATCGTCGTCCGCCATGTGCGGACAGGAGCGGGTACTGTAATATAAAAAAGAAACCAGCCCACCACAGATGTTATCTTTTTAGGATAAATAGTACTAATTCAGTAAAGTTTATCAATTTTCACATCAGAATTCGAAACGGGAAACAGCGAAACGATCTTAGGTAGGTACTGTGACGCTAAACAAACAATGGCCTGCTTTTCTCCCCCTGAGAATATCTCAAAGCCACAAAGCTGTATGAGGATTCATTTGATGCTCAAGAAGCGTTCCTGAAAATATGAATCACCTGGGTGCCTCCGGTTACCCGCCGAAATTGAATGAACAGTGCCGAATTTGGTTGTTACTGTTGCTAAATAGCGTGCGCTACCTCTAAACCTGTGCTGGCGCAGCCGATTCTACTTGCGCTATCGCTGAAAATGGAGCGTTTTGCCGCTGTGCCGAAATTGAATGCTTTACCGCCGACTGCCTGACCTGCGCCGAGATATTATGTGATTCTTGTACATAATATTGCGGTGTGTCTACACACATTTCGTTAGTTCTAAAATGGACGATTACGCCCCGAAATAAACTGACAAAAGGTGTAGTCCCTGGCGCTGCCGCAGAGGTGTTATGCGGGCTAATGTACCCACGCGGCAGCCTCGTAACAGCTCAGGCCGGCCACAAAAGTTGCCAGCTATGCATGGCAAGGGTCGTTTTTTCATTCCAAGATCAGCAACCAGTGGTGCCTTGATTATAGTCGTAATTATGCTGGATATGGATATCAGAACCATGGGCATTATCCAGATGTCTTGGTGAGCAATTTGAGACTTATTGCAGTATGTCATATTTGATTTTCATGGATTCCAGAATTTATCGAGAAGCTCAGAGGTCCAAATGAGTTGAGCTTGCACCCATACATTTTTCTGACTAAGTTTCCAGACGGAGCATTTACTGGACTTCGAGTCCCCGGACGCCATCAGCTCTGAGCTCAAACAGATCGGGTGTCTGAGAGGCATTGAGCCTGATTCATTTGGGATGATGCTGCACCCGATGGCTTCCGCACCTGACTGGGCCCCAGCGAACCTGTGCTCAGCTGCCACTATTGTCAGCCTGGTGACACGGCGCCGATATATACGAGCGCAGCTGCTGTGAAGGCATGTGGGGAGCTTTGTGCGCAGCCGTGACAGCATCTGTGGCAGCTATATGTGACAGCCTGGCGTGGCAGCGTCCATGGCAGCTCTGTGACGGCCTAGCGGCGTCCATGGCAGCTCTGTGACGGCCTAGCGGCGTCCATGGCAGCTCTGTGACGGCGTAGCGGCGTCCATGGCAGCTATGTGACGGCCTAGCGGCATTGATGACTAATTGTGATTCGACGGCCTTCGCCCATGACACTTGTGGTTGTGTTGTGAAGGGCTCGACATTACGACGAACACTTGCGGCTCTGCAGCAATGAAATGTACAGTGAATTATTGAGAGCCGTGGGGGCAGTGGTCTTGTTCTCAGTTTGCTGATACTCTACTAGCAATGGTAAAACTATGCCTGACATCACATCAAAGACGTTCATGATGCGTCATCAACATCAAGCTAAAAACGCTTAGGTATCCGAAAAAGGCAAGATACTTTTTTCCTGCAGAAATTCGTTCCTTGAAGCGGTATTCATATGAGTTGCTCATGGCATCCTTTTCTGTAGTGGCGTGAGTTGTTGCATGCCCGCTGCTGCAATGTCCACGACTCCACAGCCACACCAACAACGTCTTTAGGGTTCTTGAAGTCCTTGAGTGGTCAATGAAGGACTCCACATGTGGCGTGTGGGTGAAGCACATACACTGCAGATAGTTTCGTGCGCGGGGAACATGTACCTACCCGTCCGTATTTGGATGCCAGGGAAAGGTTCTGAACGATTCTGAGAAATGCAGCTATGTTACCTGGGCAGCGTTAGACGTCTGCAGAGACCAAAATGGGTCCGTGCATCACAGCCAAGCCACGTGACACGTGGGCGGGGACTGGTGATTGTAAGCCATTGTGATTGCTGTCTGCTGAAGATATCGGCGAGATACATTTGTATGTGGCGTGATTTTATCAGGTGTCACATCATGGGTGGTCAGTGTCCACAGTTGCCTGCTACAAATTTACATGTATGCGATGCGATTACATGAATTAAATGTATGCAACATGCTCGATGCATGGTTAAAGCGAGCGAAGCAAGTGAAGTCATGCTGTAGTATCTACTATCCATATTGTGGTAATAATATGTAACTGAAGTATTCTTCCCCATTTATCTCGTGTGCAAAGTTTTCTCACTGTTGTCTAAGTTGTCAGTTCATTCATGAAATACATGAGGAATTTTCGTTCCACTTTAAACCTGCATATGTAACAGCTCTTACGTTGATCCTGATTACTCATGCTCAAGTACCATGGAATTTCAGTTCTCTCGGAAATATTCAGCTACAAGATCGGTACATCCCCAGACAGCGCTGTTCCGATTGCGGGAAGAATAAGCACTTGCCTTTACACCGTATTGTCATTCCATGCCATTGCACTGGTACAATCCACATTATAGCGGTGTTTTACTTCGAGAGACTGGTGAGTGATGATGTCTACATTCACCCTACCTTAGCTCTCCGTAAACTTCAGTTCTGGGCGAATACTGTGCTCACCACGCCATTAATGGCACTCACTATATTTGCCGTCCATCGGTCAGTCACCCCAT